TGCGCCAACTGTAGTTCGAAGAAAGAACTGCATAAATCTAGATGGCACTGCTCTTCGTCCAACGTTGGACTATGTCTTACGAGTATTAAAAACTGTTTCGAATCATTTCATGAAAAATTACTCCTAACTCTTCATAACATCATGTTTCTACTGGCAAAATAAATTTTCAACAATTACTGAAATATTACCATTATTTCCCCAGTGATGCCTTAATGGAACCACCTGATTCTGTCAAATCTTTGTGTGCTATAATTTTTTTTTCATCAGGAAGTCGTTCAATTGATATATATAGAGTATGATTTTGACCTCAAAATCGATTTTTTCGAAAAAAAAATAATTTGGGCCACAAAGGGTTAATGACGATCAAATTGAAGAGTTGTTGTATGCTGAAAGAAACTTAATTCTGCTTTGCGCCTTGTGATGTTCCACTGTGTATTACACTGAGAGAACAGTTTATTTACTATAAAGAACTCTTATTCATTGATAACGAATGACGTTGTTGAATATGGACAACATGATTTCATCACAAACTTATGGTATTTTAAAAAATTACGAACGAATATACAGGTCAATATTGAGTTATATGATAATCTTGATCTCAAGAAACATAAATTAAATATTAACAAATATCACTTTGTGGACACTATACCCCATTTTGCATCAAAATAGATTTGTTTATATTAATGTACCGTTACTTTAAATTCAATTAACGTTTTCTTAATGCAATCGACTGTCACTTATATGTTAAGTTATCTTTATCAAAAGTTAATACACTGCGTTTTAATTTTAGCTTTTCCAGTGTTGTACAGAAAGGAGACATTGTACCAATGAAGAAGCATAACTTATAGCATACGGAATCATTTTGTTATTGATGAGTAATGCTTCGTGAATATATAATATATTGTTTGGTTATTGATAGTTAATATTCTGAGTCGATGATCGATTTTTGTTCATCAATCTTTTCCACTACTTATTCAACCCGAAATAAAAATTCATAAGTTCAAACAGTTATTGAGGATACTTTATACTTTTTCGTTTCTTGTGATAAATAAAAAATTTTGTCAATTAATCATTCACAATGATAGAGATTCCTCGTCAGTGAGTTGGGAATAATCTTTACAATTTATTCTTCTGATGGATGAGTCAATTTCTGATATGTTATACGCTGAAACATAGAAGACGAATGACGGATAGAACAATTTTAGAACAACAACAACAATTTTTTTTTTTTTAAATATATAGCTAGGCTTCGAAGATACATATTGATAATTATCAAAATTGAATTTTCAAGACGGTTTCTTTGACGGTTTGGATGGTTCCAATTGTTTTTTCCTAACAGAAAGAAAAAAGAGTCTCTGAGAACAAATTTATTCAAGCAAAAGTTTACAGTATACCTACATCACATATATTATGATATCAAAACATCTGAATAAAAAGAGCTAAAATCAGACCAGAAATCCAGGTGTATCGAGCATCCACTATATTGATATGAATGATATATAACATGAAAATGAAAAAGTTTTTGATAGAGAGAATATATCTTGTCCCATTTAATAATCAGTACGGTATTTTTTATCACTTGGAGCGCCAGAAAGAATGTTAAAATTGCCTTTAGTCATTCAGAATAATTGTAAAGTATAAGAAAATAATGAAGTATCAGGTTTTTCAAGGTCAACGATGTTCATTAGGTCGAAAAGTCATGATATTTCATCTGATGTATCAATTTCGAAGCACTTGGACGGAATAAAATAAATGTGATACAAAAATTTTGGCATGTTTATGGATATCTCAATAGTTGTCGTATACTGATTGAGAAACACGAACATAGGCATGTTGACTATCAACAAATATTGGTTGCTATCTAATTAATTTCATATTCGAGCCTTGTTTCTTCAATCAATGATTTCTTGGATTTGCATCCATTCTTATAAATCCATTCACTTATATGAATTCGCACTTGTCATCTAGTCACAATTGATCTGTACAATCATCATCCTATGTACAGGAAAATTAACCATTTTACCTTGCGGAATCTTTCAACAAAATTTCCAAGACCCCATCCTCTCAGTGTTTCCTCCATCTTGGAAGTCTATAGAACAAGCTTTAGAGAAAATGTATATAAAATGTCTTGAAAGGTATCACACTGTCAAAAATCATTAAATTCCATTTCATATATGGAAATATTTTCAATTCATTATAAATATAAGCTATCGCATTATAACATTTCATTTTGAAAAATACTATTGAAATCGAACTCATTTTGGGTGTAAAAAAAGCATTCACAAGTTATCATGTGATTGCGGGAGACGGGTGTACACGTCCGTACCTGACTTGCGTATACCGGAAGACGGGCGTTCCCGCAACGCTAAATTTTTCCCGTTTTGAGAGCACGACTATCAAAATTTTACCCGCAATGAAAGGGTTAAAAGCAATTTTATTGCACCACATACATATTATGATATCAACAAAGAAATAGCCACAATGCTCAAAGTGGAATGAAATGTTAAATAAATTCAAGAAGCTCAAAGTCATATCCACACAAAGTTCATAAAATGTACAACAATGGTAGATTCCGGTAGAAAAACAACTACTTTCCTGGCCACGCAGAACATTGAATTACATCCTCCCGAAATCTATGCATCTCGATCTGGTCCTGCGCGGGGCCACGTAGATTTCACGTTCCTCCAAAAAGCTGCAAAAATGCAAGCGTTCATTCCGAATTCGAGGGCAAAAATTACCTCCGCACTCGTGAAGGAAAGTGAAACTCAATGTCCAAGAAATGACTGGAAAAAGGTCTCTGGGGGTTTTTGGGCGCGATGATTCCGAATTCGAGGATGATAAGATAAACGAAAAACAATAGTTGCCTCAACCCAGGTAGCACATCATATTGGCTGGAACCCGATTTCATATTGGGCCGATATAGATATATCGTACATGTGAAAAATAATATAGGTCCAATATGAGAATATATTGGACAAACAATATTGGAATGATAATATTGGTGGAATATTAGTTCAACCTGAGCTGAATATGGATTGTCAGCTACAATATTGGAGCAATATAGGTTGTAACATTCGTTAACAATGTGTTGAAAAACATATCTATGAATGTTATATAATATTGTTTTACGAATGTCGATACAACAACATCGTATACATATTGTTCCCGACATTCACAACCAATATTGCAATTTGAACATTCTCCCCATGTCGATTCAGAAGCGGTTATGCAATATTGTATATTCAAGTTGAACGGCATATCGGTTGTATATTGTTTCAACAATATTTGAAACATTATATTCACCCATCTTGATTGATATCATTTTATCTATATCATGCGGAAGATATCGTATACAATTTGCTTCTTACATTTATAACCAATATCGCGATTTGAATATTGTCCCCATGTTGATTCTGAAGCGGTTGTGCAATATTGTATATTTGAGTTCGACGACATATTGGTAGAATATCGTTTCAACAATATTCGAAATATCATATTCACCTATCTTGATTAATATCATTCTATCCATATCATGCGGAAGATATCGTATACATATTGTTTCTAACAATTATAACCAATATAGCAATTTGAACATTCTCCCCATGTCAATTCTGAAGCGGTTATGAAATATTGTATGTTCGAGTTCGACGGCATATTGGTAGAATATTGTTTCAACAATATTTAGAACATAGAATTCACCAATATTGACTGATATCATTCCAACTATATCGTGCGGAAGATATCGCACACATATTGTTTCCAACAACTATAACCAATATCGCAATTCAAACATTCTCCCCATGTCGATTCTGAAGCGGATATACAATATTGTGTAGTCGGATTCGACGGCAAATTGGATGAATATTGTTCCAATTGATAACATGTGGAAAATATCGTATACATATTGTTTTCAACAATCATAACCAATATCGCAATTTGAACATTCTCCCCATGTCGATTCTGAAGGGGTTTTCAATGATTCAAATATGAATATCAATAACGGCAATTCAATTAATATCTTATATCGGACATAGAAGAGAAAAACAATATTGTAATTTCAAGTTCAATTGCATATCGGGTGAATAGTTTTCTAGCAATATTCAGAAAATAATATCATCTTATATTGGCTGATATGTGATTCACTATATCATGTGAGCAATATTGTTCACATATTGTTTTGAGAATACATATCGATATCGAAATTTCGATATTTATTCCATATTACGCACTCCCAAATCGATGTCGATAGATGGCGCTATAAATGATTGGTAACGTACTCCCACTGCCAATCAGACGAGAGAATATAAATATTAGCTCTAGACGATTGTAAAGTATCATAACCTGGAGTAGGGGTTAACCGTGATCAACAAGGCGGCTTCCCCAGGGCAAGGCCCTGCCATTGCACTCCGGCTGGGCTGACCTTTGTGATTATTACTGATGCGAATAACTCGCAAATATTGGTATGAAAATGTTCCACCAATATTTTGAAGACAACATAGCTACATAATGATTTTCAATAATGTACCAATATTTCCAACCAATATTGCACCAGTATTGTCAAATGTTCACTGTCCAGTTATCAGCAATATTGATATCACATTTTGTGACCAATATAACTTCACGAATATTCCAGCAATATTGGTATGAGAATATTCTACCAATATTTCTGAGACAACATACCTTCATGATGATTTTCAATGATTCACCGATATTTCCATATATTACACCAATATTGCCGAATGTTCACCATTAATTTCTCGCCAATATTGATATTACATTTTGTGTCCCATATAACTCTACGAATATTCAACCAATATTAATATGAGAATATTCTACCCACATTTGGAAACTGATATTGTACCAATATCGCCGAATGTTCACATCTTTTTTCTCGCCAATATTACTTTCACAATATTTTGCCGATATTTTCGTTATATTGCACCGATATTGTCCCAATATATGTGTGCTACTTGGGAATACATGGGTGAATTTCAACTCACCAGGTATCCATTGGTACACTAAAGTATTATTGAAGAACCATTTGACCACAAGCTCCTGATCGTTAGTTTCTAACGTGAAATCACAGTCCAATATTACAGGATGGCCAAAATGAATTATTTCCGGAACGTCTAATTTGTGTATTTTCACTCCCGTGCCGAGATGAATCAGAACTGAAACCAAACAAAAACCACAAATGAGATTGATACTGAAATATAATCAATTATTTCGATTGCAGAAAATATAAAGCATGTTCCATTTGGATTAAAATTAACTCAGTTTGATTCGCAAAATTTGCGTGGTCGGCTTCGAGGTCGGTCCGCCTCGTCAACGCAAATATCGCTTGTCAAACAAAGTGTGACATTTTATCCTAATAAAACAATGTACTATTTTTGTCAGTTTTAATAACATTTCTGAAAAACACTCATTTATAAACTACCTAGATGATAAGGTCAACATGCCTTCGACGTAGGCTAACGATATTATTCAACACAGATTCTAAAGATATTCATATGTATATCTTTATGAATGTGCATCAATTTTAACCCAACATCATTGAGACTTATGATTGAAAAAAAAACTTCTTGCTACACTTGCTGGAATTATGAGAGTCAGATATATTCAGTACCCTAATAGCACTGAACGTTCTACGGACTAGGGTTTGCAATCCCGAAATACCGATAGCAAAAATCCCGGAGTCCTATTGATATTTTTATACCGAGAATCCCGGCATCACATCCGATTATACCACGGGAATTTCGGGATCAGTTCTGACCAATAAGACTTTGATCTCGTCAAGTGAATCAGATTATTATTATTCGAAGTTCCGAAAAATAAGTTATTATGGAGATACCCGTGACTCATATAAAACATTTCCTAATAGTTTCGGAGGCAATAATTCATGAACAAGATGATGAGGAAGCGTCATACCTAGTGTGTCACTGACTCATCCTCTACACAATCATCAAATTCAACAAAGGATATAACCGTTTTCGAAAATGGTGTTTTTTGAAAATAATGTAGATACAGGGTGGGCCACCAGTAACGCCTCGGTCTCTAGAAGGCTAACCACTTATCTTCTTGTAATTCTTCCTCTCTAGGAAGTTGCATGTCAACATAGGCTACCATTCAAAATTATTTCGAAACATACAGTGTGTCCCCAAAAACCATAAAACACTGAAGTTAAACTTTTTTCTATCGAACACCCTATATATTATTTCATTTTGAGATTCTCCCTGATGAGCTGATTTCAAGGACCCATTATACTTGAGGTCTAGCAGTTATAATTACTGAAATATAGGGTGTGAAAAATCGAGATTTTCCAAGTTCAAGAATTTTTTGTGTCGAAACTATTCATGATTGGTCAAAACGGCTTACATGTTCCTTTATGAACTTTTGATTAACTATCTACTGATCATATGCCAAAATAATTGTGGAAAACTATTTCAATCACTCGTAAACAAATAAGAAAAGTGACGTTGTGTTTCAATGTTTTGCCTCCAGTGTCGGTCATCTGACAGTTCTTGCACACAACCCATGCATAAAGGAATCAGAAAAAAATTGACAAATTTGATGATTTTCATGAAGTTCACGTTTCATTATATTCTCAAATCCAAGCGTCTGCCGCGTGCTACACGGAAAAAAGTATTTGTAGCATCATCAAATTATTCATGCTCGAATCATTTTTGTTGGACTAAGCATTTTTTTGTTGAATTGAACAGCAACATGATCATTCTATGGAAGCAGCATGTTCAAATCCATCAGAATATAGTTTATTTGAATCTACAGTAAAATATAAATTCCATCATATGGTCATCTAAAAAACATATTACGTCGATCCAAAATGAGGTCGATGTTGATTCAACTACAAACATTCCGTTAATTTGTTGGAATAATGATAATTTTGATAAGAATATATCTTTGAAACAACATACAAGTTATTCCGATGTAGCAATGAACTCCTTTCGAACGGATCATTTCTTTGAATAGAGCAACAAAATATCTAATATCAATGAAATATTTTGTTCATTCAACATCAAGTTAAATTTTCGCCACTAGATGGCGATCTTTCCGCCTCTTCTATGCCTGCCTCGAATTCATTATGTACGTGAAGCCTGATTCTTTATGTTTCTTTATTTTCTCTTGAATCAACGAAATATTTCATTATATCAACAAAATATTTCATTGAATCAACCAAATATTTCATAAAATCAACCAAATATTCCATTGAATCAACTAAATATTTGATTGACTCAATATCTTACTATTTTGAATGGAACAAAATGATTGTTTGAGCAATTGAATATCTCTACATAAACAATTCATGGATGTGCTTGATTGAATTAGATCCAGAGGTTATGCAAGACATATTCACTTGATTCAAACTTCAAATTCACTCTGGAACAAGATATAGATTCACTAATTTCAAGATTTTATTCTGTCATGCATATATGACACTTGGTTTAGGTTTAGGTTGAGGTTCAATGTGAGTGGGGCGAATACCTGCCCTCCACTGCGACCCCAGATGGGTGTATTGTGGCTCACCCCTAGAGGTTACAGTTCACTGTATAATCCACATCTTTTCACAAAGTTCATGGATGAATCAGGTGAGATTTGTCTGAAATCGATCGATAGGTTCTAAATTGGTAAAGCCAAATATATCGAACCTTTGTCTCTCTAAGTGAGAGCATGAACATATAATATGTGTTCAGCAGTTTCGTCCTCCACACAGCATAATCGACAGTTCGTTTGTTAGTTCAGACCCATCCTTCCCAGGTGGTATCTCAGACGACAGTGTCCCGTAAGCAGTCCTGTCATAATTCGCATCAGGTTACCTATGCTCCATTCTAGGATCTGCCTGGTTATATTTTCCGATGGTTCAGGCAGAACCGCGTTCGAATGATGACTTAACCCTGGTAATTCAGACCAGTACGTGAGTCTCTTTCCCTCCGCCTAGTCCGAGATTGTTGTTTTGGCCACACTAACGATGGAAGTATGATATGGTGTTATTAATGATGCGCTTTCGTTTCAGAAATTTCACTCGACCTCACGAGAACAGCGAGAGCAATGGTTTCGTCGATCTTCTAATAGATGGCGACATTGCACAATTATGACATCTGTCAGTTTTGGAATTGTTGGAGATATTCCGAATTCAGAGTTGAAAAATCCCACTGTTACATATTTTCTGCGTACCTAAAATGCCATTTGCCATTTTATTTTCCCTCGTCACAGCAGCAATAGCAGCATCACCATCTAGCGGGAAAATGTAGAATCAACGTCTCGCTCGTTTTGACGTAGAGAAAACATAGTAGGCGGTCGAGTGATTTTTCTGAAATTTTTAATACGTGATAATGGCCGAATACGCGCACCATATCTTCCCAGATAGCACTGGATATTCCTAGGATATTCTCAAAATATGCTAAAAAGGAGGAGTACCTATATTCCGAATATTCATCGATTATTCCTAGAATATGTACATGCCTCTGGAACATCTAAAAGGAATATTCCAAAGTGAATAGTCAGATATGTTCAGGGAATATTCAGGTTTGAATTTTCTAGGCATATGCCCAACTGAATATTCTCTGTTGTATATTCATGAAATATCCCCAACTGAATGTTTTGTGAGGTATATTCATGAAATATTCTCAACTGAATATTCTGTGGTGTATATTCATGAAATATTTCATGAATATTCCTATGTTTCTCAACACATAAATAACAATCATTATTTCAGAGATGTGAGTATCAAACATCGATTAGATCTAAGGGGATTTTGAAACAAAAAGTGTTTATGATCCGATTTCGAACGACGCTCTCACAAGAAATTGATATGTACAACATTATTCAATTCGATTACTGGCCTAGTGGTCAAGGCGTTGCTCTGATAGTCTCGAGGTCACTAGTTCGATCCCTACTTGTGTCTTTTTTTTTATTTTATAATATGTTTATTGGAATATTCCAGGATTATTCGACAGAATATTCTTTTGGATATATTCTATGAATATGTGAGGAATTCCCATTCGCATATTTAGAGAATTTTCCACAGATATTCTGGAATATTCCAGATTATTCCTAGAATAATCCAATATTCCAAGAGGAATATGATAGGGAGATCCATGGAATATCTGGTGCTGTCTGGGTTACTTCCATCATTGCCACACTTGTGGTGATCCCAAAGTATGGTTCTGGTCCTATGAACACAGATTCGGTTTCCTGTTTGACGAGGATGTCGGCTTTCTCGTTGCTCTCCACCCCCTAGTGTCCAGGCACCCACACCAAATAAACTCTGTTGTTGGCACCCAGGCGTTCTAGGGATTCAATACAGCTCCATACAACCTTAGAATTTATCTCGCTGGAGCTCAGTGCTTTAAGAGCAGCCTGACTGTCTGATACAATGCTGATGTTTTTGTTTACTAGAGGTCTATTCGTCAACTCTCTGGCACACAATTCAATTTCGAAGACCTCTGCCTGAAAGACTGTAGCAAACGTACCGAGATTGACAGAGACTTCCGTCTTCGGTGTTCTGCTGAACACAACACCAGCTCCGACTCCGACACTTATATCTGCTTCATTCAATTAAATTCTGCCTGATTCAACAATTCCTTTTTTTCGTGTACCTGTATACAACCCTTGTTGTCGTTGAACGAGGTCAGCTAGCCTTTGACACAGCAAAAAAAGTCTCTCAAAGAGGTTTTATGGCTCGGTCGATATCATAGGTGTTTATTAAGCCGTCGCTATCTCGTCGGAAGTGTCGTTCCTGCCGGGATTACAAACAGAAAAAAGCAGGATCTCTCGCTCCGATGGTCTAGACGGCTGTGGAGCAGGCGAAAAGTCATTATAGAAAGAGAGAAGTTAGTCCATGTAAGTATATCTCGCGGAAAATAATGGGAAAAGGCTTTCGGAGTTGGACGAAACTCTTTCACTCATTCTATACGAGGCAAGAGAATAAATAAGATATAGGACCGAAAACTCATGAATTTTCTTCAGAAAGTTTATTCTGATTGGAATGAGACATCTCTCTGGAATCAAAAACTTATACTGATTGGTACAAATTTATCCATATCGAAACATGTTCGTCGAGAATTCAGAAAATGATAAAACAGGCGTTTTAGAAGCTGCTGATTCGTTATTTGCCAACTTTAGAAATGAAGACGAGATAGTTTCAGCTATAATA